GTTTCACCTGATGTATTTTAAGGAGCTCTAACTCCAATGTTGCTTCTGTCTCTATGTTCTGGTTGAAGGTGTTTGATGCTTCGGACTTTGGATCTCACCCCCTGTTCTCGATGGCACAGGGAGGATTGGACCTGCAGCAGGTGGGTGGTCACAGGTCGGAATATCAGCGCTCCTCGCTGCTTCCTCCTCAGCTTAATCCTATAAAAAAATCAAATTAATATTTTATCAGTCTTCGTGGCGTTGAGCACAGCAGGTAGTTTTGACCTCAATCATAAAATGACTGCATGAATATTCTGTATAAAAGCAGAAATGACATCATTCTGTTGTTTATTGATATTAGATCAGATATATGGAGGAGTTTGTTTTAAGTGAGTCACATCAGTCTGGATTTACCTAATCGATTCCAGATTGTATATTTTATCTATAATAGTATTTTTATTGTGAAACATTTGCTTTAACAATTAGCTTTATTTTTTTATGTTGCAAAAAAAAACTATTTCTTCTAATCAACTCAGTCGGTCAGATTATTGTCTGAGGTGAGCTTCTCATCCAAACCCTGTTGTCCGAAAGCAGACTTCCAGTCAGATTGCTTTTGCATCCAAACGCTGCGTCTCCTGCATCCTCGCAGCGTTTCACAGAGATGAACTGAAGGTTTTCTGCTGCAGCTGTTCATGTCTTCATTAAAAATGCACACATCCCTCCTCTGCATTTTAGTTTTCATCATCCACCTTTAAAAACTCAGCTATATGAGCACACTGTTTGATCTGTGCATGCTCCAAAACACCATCTGCAGTTAAAGAAGCCATTTTAAATATAGATGATTATTTATTAAAAGTAAAAGAAGAAAGGCTCTTTATCTGATATTTAAAGTAGAAAAGTATGATGGAGGATCTGAGTGGACAGGAAAAGTGAAACACTGTGGCTATGAGGACTTCAGCAGCTCCTGGTTTTGCAGTCTCTCCAGAGGGACACAGTTCGCTATTACCGTAATTCATCAGTAAATGCTCATTCTCCAGATCAATTGGTGTACAGCTATTGTTCTTAAAAGGCACAAATGAAGAACTTTTATCATTTTCCTGTATCTGATGTTAATGGTGTTCAAAACCAGTTTGTTGGTGGGGCTTTCAGTGCTTCTCATGGATTCAAATTATTTATTCCCGCCTTCTAACCATCCATCTTCAGAAACCTCCATCCCCACCACCCCTCATCCCTGAGGAAAAGCCAGGCTGCAGAAGAGCAGAAGCTTGTTTCTGGTTCTTGTATTTGGAACTTCTCTCTTTTAGGATCCATATTTCATAACATTTGCTGAGGGGTGGAATATAGATGGACCAAGAACTTCTCCTTTCCACTCTGATCCATTTCATCCTCCCACTCACAGGCGGGACAGACGGATTCTTTCAGGTTGACAATCATCTCTGATCAAGGCTTCTATTTGCCTCTTCACCACATTTTAGGCCATGCATGTAGAGATAGCTGACAGCCCCTAAAAGTGACCCTGCAGCACCCCCTACAGGTGCATCAGCAGAGAATAAACCAGCTCCCTTGTTTTGAAGCTTTAGAAAAAACCCTACACGTATCTGCCTGGTGACATCACAAGTTTGACTACTGGTCAGAACATATTGGAGTCCATTTTTTGTCAGAGCGTCATCCAACAGAGAAAAAATGTGAGACATGCAGCCCCACCCAAACATGTTGGAGTTTAGACTCATGCCAGAGTTGTCCCTGACTTGAAAATTAATTTGGTACATGTCAAAATTGAACCGAATGGTCCAGTTACTGATGAAGCTGACATGATTTAAGGTTCTCCCGTGGACAGGCAGGTACGTGACTGTCCCCTGAGAGACAAAGAGGACAGGTGGACAGGCTGACAAACAGCACCGCTGGTTTAAAAAAGGCCCAAACAGAGCACAGTTTACACCATCGCACTGACAGCTCTGAATGCAGCGATCACTTTTAGCCGCACAGTGAGAGCAGAGCTGTCAGTTAAAACAACAGTAACCTGAGCCTATTGGGGCTCAGCAGGATGAAGGTGGCAGGTCGACAGTCATGGAAACATCTATAACATCTCTGAAGGGAGGACAGTGGGATTTGAAGCTGCCTTCAGAAAGAGATGCAGCAGAAAAGTGGTGGAAATAGATGGAATCATCTCAGTAACGCTCAAAATAACAGAGGAAAAGTTTCTCCCAGAGCTTCAGCAGTTCTCAAAGTCTTTGTTTTAATCGATCCTCTCTCTTCAGTTTGGCTGGAAAAACTAAGATGGGATTAAATCCTCAAGTAGAACAGATTTATAAAGGAGAAAAATCCACTAGACAGTAAAAAAACACGAGACAAGTTGGGGGTACCAAGTGGAACAAACCAAGAGAAAAGAACATTTAAATGGTTTTTCAACCAAGGAGGGTAAAGGATGGAACAGGAGCGGATTTTAAAGGAAGTTCTCTACTGGTTCCATTAAAAACAGTAAAATTTCAATGAAAGGAGACGCTATCAGGTCAGCTTATTTATGGAATTGTCTCACTGTCCCTGCAGACAGTTGTAAAAACATCAGTGCAGTGATTTATAAACTTTAGTTTCAAAGAAAGGCAATGTACGCTCTGGGCAGTGTTTAAAATCAGCTGTTCCTATCAGTGCTCCAGCCTAGGTTTATAAACTCAGACCTATAAACATAGTTTATACAATGAACAGAAAGTGTAGCATTCATGACACATTCAGTGTGTTGGTTGATGTTGATCTAAACAACAGGAAGATAAATGTCGGTGAGTTTAAGTTTTATTAATCAGAGGGTCCATGCTAATACTGCAAATCAGGAAGGACATTTAAGCTAAAGGTGAATGCATAATAAGTGCTGTCTGAATAGTCTTGCCAGTAAGGAAATAAGTAGGAAAAGGAAGCAAAACATAGGGATCTCCAGATCATCTGGCACTCAGGACCTATACACATCCCCACAATCCTTTGCATGACAGGACAAATGGGCACAGCCCACTTCGCTAAGCTTAGCAAAAATACATTATTTCTTCATATGTGCTCTGTGTGACCGGTGCTAACATGGAAACACCTTCATATGTTTTGCGTTTTATAATGGAGAGTGTTATCCTTGAGGCCTGTAGGTGTAGTGTAGAGAGTGTAGTTCTTTTTTTCTGGTCGGCTGTAGTTCCATTTTAACAAGCATTACCCATTAATATGTGCATTGCATAATGATTCCATAAGGCTAAAGGCTGTCCGGATTGTAAAGTAGTCTGAGGTTCCTAATGTAAAGGGAAGCTCTGTGTTTACATCGTTAAGCTTTCCCTTCCTAATTCTTTCCTGAGAAGAGATCATCCAGAGCAAACACTTTAAATAATACTTGATAAGCCATATCAAGATGATACAGTGTTCGTAGATCAAGGACAACCCAAACGCACAAAGATGTCTGGCTGTCTGTGCTCCCATTCCATTACCAGATCTGTTTTTACATACATGACTAAGATGATCACTTCAGTTCTTCTTCAGTTTTTAAATCAACCTAGAAAATTCAATGAACATGAAGCTCAGAGTTTCTGTTCCTCTGATCCAAAAATTGTCTGATTAACAGTTAAATTAAACTGTTATTTTACCTAATACTGTGATATCTGCGATAAAAAGCAACCAGAAAAATCTGTTCCAAGCTGATTTTCTCTCAGTGAGAACATAGTTTTGGTCTCATTTGTTAAGACAAAAGCAGTAAAGGTAGTTTAATGGTAAAGGATCTTTCAGAGTGTTTGCACCAGCCTCCACTTTCTCCACAGAAGGACAGAAGGTATGTGCAGAAAAGGTTAAATCCGTGCAGGAAGATGGTTAACGTAACACCAGAAAACACTCATGGCTGTTAATGAAGTCCACAGAGAAACTTATAGATGTCTGACTTCATTAATTAGGCCGACAAAAGAAACAAAACCCAGATTTCATCAACCAGGTACAGATTCATCTCCATGATTCCCTAAGAGCTTTTCTTTTTTAAATGTTGAATTAGCTCTGCTCTTTCTCCTGGTCTGGGTTCCATCAGCCTCCAACCTACCGTCAGTCAGTAGCTTTCAGTTTTTAGTGCCTAGCTGTTATACTTATATTCATATGATCATTTTTAATTGCCTGGAAAAAGGAGCAACCCCCCAATAATTAGCCTAATAAGTGTTCTCTTTCAATGTTTTTAATTTTAACAGTTATTTTAGTTAGTTTTGTAAACGTCAAACATTTTTATTTAATCTCAACATGCAGTTTTTAGATATCTGCATCTCTGACGTTTATTATTATTTATTCTTAGCATATTATTTTTCTTCTTTGTATTGTTAATTATTTTGTCTTGTGTGTCCCTGTATGATTTTATTGCTTTTTTTCTTGCTTTTTCACAAACAAACCTGAACTGTTGGACCACAAATTCAATTTCAATTTTCATCTTCTTTATGAATAAAACATTATTTATTTTCCCTTAGGTATATTTAAAATAATGTAGTTGAATTAGTTCCTTTAAAGTTTTATCTCAAGTTTCCTTCAGTTAAGTAAAAATGTCATTTTTAATGAGTTTTCTGCTGCTATAGAAGCTGCAGTGTCCTGAGTTGACATGTTTTGTCTCTCTTGTCCAACTTTTTTTTTTGCATTATGTAAAAGCAGGAAACCTTAAACAGAATTTTTCTTTCTACCTCTTCTATTCCAGACATATGCAGTCCAAAGCCACTACGGTTTCCCACATTCAGAGGTAAAATCAGTTGGTTTTACGGTATTTTCTGAAAAACAAAAACCTCTTAAGGTCAATCTACTCAATCATCTTCTGTTCTGTTTCTGTGTCAGTTATTGAAACTGCAGCAGCTGTCGATGCAGCAACAGGGCCTGGCGTCCATCAGCCAGTCAGCTACAGTCCTGCCTGGTACGTATGCAACCAAAACATTTCTGCTCATATCTTATCTTCGTTTACTCACTGTTAGATCATTTTCATGCATTTTGGGGGATTTTAATAACACTTTATTTAAACAATTGAAAAAATCGTATCAATTATTGATATAAAAAAAAGTCAATTAAAAATTACCATTAAGGTAAAAACCAGTGTCAGATAAAAATCATTAAATGAGGAGCTTTTTAAATTGTAGTTGTCCTTCATCTGACACAGTACAATTTTGTTAAAACCCCACTGCTGAATAAAATCCTCCATGTTTTATGTGGCTCTGTGGAAGTACAATTCCAGCCTTATTCTGGCTTTAACGTCGCACTTCCGCAGCGCTACAATATCAAGGTGAAGTCCGTCCTGCAGTCTGTCTCTGCAGGACTAGTAAATTAGCCTGACGTAGTCCTACTCAATTCTAGTCAGAATATGAGTCTGATACTGCTCCATAGAGCTGTGATTATGGGGCGTGCTTCGAACGAACCAGGAAAAAAATGCCTCTGCACTCAATTGGATAGACCTACAACCAATAAGAGCAACGGAGTGCGTGACGTATGTTAAGCGAGGCATAGTTGTTGTCAACAAAAATCAAAGCGTGCAGTTGCACGCCTAGAATAAGAAGATGAGAATGATCGCGTTTCTCTGTTCCTCTTTTAAAATTAATTTGCTGTCGATATCTTCTAGAACAGACCTGATAGCAGAATCTACACATCTCAACTCTCCAGCGGCAGCCATTGTTGTTGTCTCCCATGCGCGCTTTGGTCACGTGGTTGATTACGTTACTGTTGATCATCTGTCCATCATCGTATAAAGCCCGCCCTGAAAATTTGATTGGCCCGCCAGATATTGTGCGAGCATACTCGCGCTACTACTGAGCAATGCCAGACCGAACTTCCCGACCTCAAACGTTGTGGGCAGGACTAAGTTCGGAATGGCACCCAGGCTACTAGTAAATAGCCATCTTTGCTTCACTGAGTAAAAAATTGAAAATCGGGCCTATTTTTGCTATTCTTGCAAACTCCAATAATTAAAAGGCTAAAAATTGTGCCTTGTGCATTCCATAAAAACGTGGAACACATTTTCAGAAAGACCACAGAAAGGAAACTCGTTTTTATGAGCCAATTTGGAGAAAATTGTGTTACAGTAGGAGGCGCTGTTGCACACTTCCCATTGGAGGTGATAAGTAAAAGAAAACTGTGGGTGGTTACCAATGGAATAGATCTGTAGCTTCTGGTACCATGGAGCTGCTCCCATAACATGACCTGCAGGTTAGCATCTGCCAGAAGCTTCAAACATGGATCTCAAAATCGGATTACATTTTTTAAGTTTCTTAAAGATTTGATGGAGTGTAAAATCCACATAGGTTGGCAGCAAACCCCCCGAAACATTCATTTTTTGTTTTAATGTGTTTAATGTGTTTGCTCATTTTCTAAAACAGCTTCTCTAACCTCCCGCGATCTTTCACAACTAGAGGTAGTTTTCATCAGATGTAGTGCTCATCTCACTCCTTCCTGTTCCTCGCATGCTCTCTGTTGGAGAATAATTTAACTGTTGTGTAATCTTTATGTCAGAGCAGAGCTCTGAGTACTAATTTATGTCTGAGAGCTTTGATCAGAAGCCTCCAGCTGGGCTGATGGTCCGGCTGTCGAGCTGCTCTCTAACGTCTGCCGTTCATTTTGGGTTTCTGTCCACATCAGGGAGGCTCTGAGGAACTAAGCTGGAAATGCAATGAATGATGAAGCAAACTGATTATTCAGAGGTTCCGACAAAACTTTCTAAAGGATGAAGATGTTTGAATAAATGATGATGGATGCAGTTCTGCAACACCTGAAGAAGACAATATTTCTGCTGCGGAGAAAGATCAGACCAAAACTGACAACAACAGAGGAATGTTTGAAAAGAAAGAGGCAGATGTAGAGACGCACCAGGAAGAGAGAAAAACTATAAACAGGAAGGGAACATAAAGAGCATGAGAAAGATGGAAGAGAAGAACAAACAAAGCTGAATGACCTATTTGATTTTCTAGTCTAGTGTGAGGCTTTCATGAAATATCATCTCATGGCTGCTTCTGCTGTATGAAACTGAAAACAGGGAACTTTCATGTTGTTTGAACTCAGCAACCAAACCTGCATGTAGTGATGGAAGGAGAAATTGGAAAAATTGTAAAAAGGGGACTAAATGGATTTTTTTGCTGACTGATGTTTTAGTATTCTAACTGATCTGGAGACAATTTTCCCTCTCAGAAGCAACCATGGTAGCACCAAGACTGAACCTGCAGCTCTGCTGCAGCATGAAGACTTGGAGCTTCATTATGTAGCTAAAGCAGCTGAAGGAACTGTCACCTCTTTTAATAACCTCTCTGTGTTGAACGGATAGCTACCAGTTTGGATTCAGGGTGTGCTCCAGTGAAAAAGAAGTTTTTCCTTTTTTGTTCCAGTACCACTGCTGTTCTGGATGGTTTCATCCTATTACAATCATCCGTCTGTCTTTCTTTTCCTAGGAGCAGTCGAAGCAAATTCTCAAACCGCATCTCAGGAGCTCCTCATTCCAAACGATGTGAGTAAAACCTAAATTTAACCAAGAAGTTACAGCCCTTTAGCTTAGGTCTGGTCCTTCTTCTACTTCAGCCTACTGAAGCAGAGCATCACTGTGGGGGCGATTTACTTTTAGGCAATACTAGGCAATCGCCTAGGGCCCCAAGTTCCTGGGGGACCCATAAAACTCTTTTACATTTATGGATAATACATCTGTTCCTTATTTGTGCACATTAATTATGTTTTTGGATAAAAATGTAGACGTAGAACAATAATGGATGTCTGTTCTATTAAAATTTCTATATCTATAATGGGTCTGTTTTATGTGTTGTCTTCTCATGGCCCCATGCCTGTCTTTGCCTCAAATTTCCTAAATCCGGCCCTGGCATCATTTTTCCCCTCCTGGACTGATGCAAAACAACAATGGCATCTATAGGCTGTTAATGACCACACACATGCTTTCTTCAGAGTAAGGGGGGGAAACCTGCTGCTCGCTGATCACACTGACGATGATTAAACATCAACGATTAAATCACCTTTAAAAACGTCAGAATAAATTAATGCTTCCTGGAATCAAAAGTATTGTTATATCATCCATCCATCATCATTCCTGGTGTAGCTTTCCTGTTTAGCTCTAATAGCACACTATGAACGTCCCAGTTACCAAGGGCTGACATAGACCATCAGAGTTTATCTGCTTCTGTCCCGTCTCTATATGAACACCTTTCTGTTTAAGAGCTTAGTTTAAATTATCATCACTATCATTATCTGTGAAGCAAGGTAGGGATCACTTAAATCTACTGCAGCAAAGTAACATATTCCTTCACATATGCCAGTATTCTGAGCGGAAGTTTCCACAGCATCCCCACCCTGAAGGGATCATCTCCACCTCAGCAGGTTCTCCTCCTTTAAAGGATCATTTCAGCATCACTTCCTGTGGTGAAACACATTGAAAATGCAGACCTGCTTACGTGTGTGTGGAGAGTAATTCGGAGCAAAGAGAGCTTTAAGCTGCTGTGCATGAAAGTGTGTGATACGTTTGTTTGTGAGTCAGTGAGCAGGGCCAAGCAGAGCAGCTTAATGACATCCTATAGCTCCCAGTTAGCGGTTTAACAACAGCCCTCTGCCTCTTTCTCCTTCAGTGAAGATTTCCTAATTACAGGGGCAGCAGGGAATCGCCCAGAAATAGCTGTTGCCCCGTTCTCCGTCCCCCACCCCCCAATGCCAGGCTGGATTTCCCCTGCAGCCCTTACATAACAGAGCCTCTCAGAGGAGAAAATCATCCTGCAGGCCTCTGATCCCCACAAGAGTCGACAAAGCACAATGTGCTAAATCCTTAGCTTTGTTTCCTGTCCATTTCAGGATGGAGGTCATTCTGTCTCTGAAGCAGATTTATTTGAAGTCATAGCTGAAACAATATTGAGCCCTTTTGTTTTATACTAATTAGCGATCTAACGGTAAAAATCATAACAGGAATGTACTGTCCTTCTGGACTTGGTCAAGATTTTAAATACTTAAATTTAGAACACTGATAGATTGAATAAGTAATATACAAACGTCTTTCACTTTATCTGCACTGAGCAGAAGTTGTAGTATTTGTTTTTATCGGACTGCATGAAGTAGGTTCTGATGATCCTATAAGGCACATATGTCAAAGTCAAGGCTGCAGGCGATAAAGACAGACACACTGCTGAGCGAGGGGCAGGTGGGATCCGCACGATACTCTGATGGAGACGGTGTGCCACTTACAGGTGCGGCCCTCTGCCCTGACTGTGCCGTCTGTTCACCTCCCGGTATTCTGTGGCTTGCATGCGGATCCCACCTTCCCCTAACTCAGCGTCGTGTCCGTCTCTATCGTCTCTCTCACCCCTCCCTCCCTCCATCCAGGCTCCTTTAATTTTGGCTTCAATCAGCCTCTGCTGACACCTGGAGTCTGTAGTCCTTTGGATTCTTCAGCCTGTTTTGGTATTTTATTTCTTTGCTTTTTGTTTAATAAATTCCTTTTTTAAAGAACCTCTGGCTGAATTATGGATCTGCTGCCATGATTCATCACAAAATTTGTACATTTCTTTGTACAAGACGTGATTTATTCATTCATAATTTTCAGTTAAATGGACTCAGGGAAAAATGCAGATAAGAGTCTTTTTTTACTATTTGAAAGCAGTGATCATAGAGCAGCACAGTAATGCATTTTCGGTTTATAATGCATGCACTTTCATTTATGTATTTATCTTAATAAGTTTGTTGATATAATTAAAGTTTTTTAATAATATTGATATTAATATTTTGTTGTTGTTTTTTTTTAACAATGTGTTAGGTCTTCGTTCCATAGGCTTAGTTCATTTCAATTTGTTTTAATAAACATTTAACCCTTATAGCAATTTTTCTTTTTGGCCCTCTGTATATTTGACTTTCACATCCCTGCAATAGGGTCAAATGTACCTTAGACCTTATAGCAGTAACAGCAGGTGACATAAGCTTGCTCAATGTTACATCCTGCCCTTGCATGGTGATTACATCTCCTCTCCTGCTGCAAACTGGACAAAATGTTTCTCTGCTTTGGAAATCCCTGGAGATCTATTTTGATTCATTGAGGCTGCTCTGAAGGTTAAACAGGAAGTAGATCATTTCATGACTGTAGATTGGTACTCTGTCTCCCATACCATCCTAATAGCTGCCAGTCTTTAAAAGCATTATGTTTCAGAAACTGCTCTCTACAGGTCCTTGCCTTGAAGTGATTTTTTTCGTTTTTTGTAATATACTTATCATGTTAGAGAACAGAACTTGCTTTCAAAACTGTATGTTTGTCTTTTAAAGTAATAGAAATTTAGAGACAAAGATTTAGAGCTGCCGTTTTCTCACTGAGATCTTTACTGTTGGATAGTTGCTACTTGGTTGATGGAAATCAGTGGAAACATCTCATCGCTGAAGGTGTGTATGTGTGTGTTAGTGTTCAAATCAGAGAAGGACAGTTTTCGTGCGTCCCAGTACAGATTCACTCTGATCATCTGCAGCTTCTTCTGTTCTGTGAGATCTGTGAAAGAAGGACCTGCTGATTCTGGAAAGTATGTCTTCACAGGACCAGATTCCCCAAAATCCTGAAACTACACACCAAGAGCCCAGCCTCTAATGTCGCCAACATCCCAGATGTGGTTCCCTCTGTTCAGGCCCCAAAACCACATCCACTGTTGTTAGGTGTTGAAGGCCAGGTGTCCCAGATGTTTGGCCTGGTCTATCAGAGCTCCTGAGAGCAGCTGTGGATCCTCCAGCAGGGGGAAGCGCTGGACTCTTTCCACTGCAGCCTTGTAGTTGTGCAGGAATGAGACATCTTCAGCTCTCAGCTCCTCCTCTGTGGCTCTGACTGTGTCTGAAAGAGCTGCTATCTCTCTGCTCAGAGCCTCCATCTTCTCCTTCATCATCCCTCTCTTCTGCTCCTCTTCCTCCCTCAGTGCAGCCAGCCTGACCTCCTCTTCCTCTGCTAGAAACTGAT